CAGAAAATACAATGATATAAACGATTTCATTGGATTTATCAAAAGGACAAGATCAGGTTTGTTGGCCTGGATATGTCTGAGGCAGTATACGGGCCTATTCCAAAGGATTTTGTATTTATCGTTTTTCATGACGCCCTATACATATTCCGGGTCGTACCATGGATGGACCTCTGTGTCAAAACCACAAGCATGGCGAAGACACATAAACTCGATGCAGTGGTCGTTCAGAAAGCCTCTCCTTGAAAAACTGAGTCTGGGCCGATTTGATATGGCATTTCGCTTGACTGTCACTCATTTCTGTACCGTCCAGCAGTACTAAGGCGGAACATTCCCTGTATCCACAAGAGAATTAAAACAGTGAAGTAATGGTGTTTGGACACAAGGAAACAGTTTCCAAAACCGGTTCGAATACCATCAGGTCCTGGCGTGGTATTTGATTTGGACTTTTTAATGACATTTTTCTGGCAATCAGGTATAATGAAACACAACAATGGTGATTTTATTTTTTCACAATCATTATATTCCTCTACCCATGGTTCCTCGAGGTTACAGATGCCGGGTATAGGCCACAACTGTTTCCAAAACCTTTCACTGGAATTCATGGTGGGTCTTTTCTCATCACTGCCATAGGATGTATTTAGTTGCCTGTAAAATTGCTTTTCATTTGATTTAAACAATTTGTTTTGTCTGATGAAATTATTTTTTGTCCCACTTTCTTTTTCTTTCTGTCCAAACCTTTAATTTTGCTTTCAGAGAATCAAGAATTTGATTAAGAATCTTCTCGTTTGTTGTCTTGTATTTTGTTTTTAAAGTTTTCCAAATTGATTTTTGCCGTTTTGACATTGATTGCCCTGAGGAACGTAATATAGGCAAAGTTCCATCCAGGATATGTCTTTCCTTGTTTTTCTTTGGAAGATTTTGTTTATTTCCCTTTTGTGGTTCATTCTCTTTGGAAAATGTATGGATTATTATTATTATTATTGTTGTTGTTGTTGTTGTTGTTGTTATTATTATTATTATGATGATGATGATGAACGTATTTGTGTTTCCACCATCTGCTCATCTACCATCGGATGAGTGAGTTCTTTTGAGTGCACAGGGCGAATGTTCTGTACACGAGGTGAGGTGGGGTGAAATTGGGTTTAACGACGCGTCCAAGATTATTGCACTTATATAGCGTTCCATGCCGCAGTTTAACATGAATACCCCACTCAGACACAGTATACTGTCTCCGAGCCGACCAGTCCTTGTTTTAGCCCCTTAATGACGAGCGCCGGACACGGTAACAACAAGTTCCTTCTTTTAACGTCTTTTGGTATGACGCAGGCGGGGATCGATCCCCGGACCTTCCGCTCTCGGAGCGGACGCTCTACCACTAAACCGAAGCGGTCCTGTACACTAGGGGTAGTGACAACACTGTAAAGACCTGTAAACAGTGTTGGTCCACATGCCGAACAACAATCCGGTCACCAGCTTTAGACCGCTTGTCCACTCCACACCCGTATTATCTGGTCCAGGAGACCAGAATAGGTCTTCAGCAATCCATGCTTTCCGTAAAAGGTGACTATGCTTGTCGTAAGAGGCGACTACAGGATCGGGCGGTCAGGCTCGCTGACTTGGTTGATGCATGTCATCGTATCTCAATTGGTGGATCGATGCTCATGATATCAATCACTGGACTCTCTGGTCCTGACTCGATTATTTACAGACCGCCGTCATATGGACTATTGCTGAGTGCGGCTTTAAACAACAACCAAACAAACCTGGTCCAGGATTGACTATTGCTGAGTATAGCAAACATACAAACAAACGTACAGACAAAAACACATTGTCGTGAGTTCCTTTTATTGTTATATGGTGGTGCCCATGACCTAGGCAAGGTTATTTAAAGGTCGTAGTGATGCAACTGTTGTATTTCCACAACGTCACTGAGCTTCTTAAACTCCGGTGGGATTAATAGCATAATTTACCATGACATTGAAGAATGCTTGATTCTAAACAGATTAAAATCGAATATCTAATTCTTTAAGTTACCTCAAACTTACCAGGTCTTTTTACGGAAACATTGGGCATTAATACTTCGATCTATTCATCGTCCACATGTCGATGTATATAACACTGCATGTCGATCAGCCACAGAACTGGGTACACTTTCGGTATTGAAACACTCACAAGAATAAGTAAACGCACAAATACCACTGTGCCAGGGCCACACAATCGCCGGTCCATGCTCTGCTAAAATTTCAAAACACACGTCTACCTCCTACCTGACCCACATTGTGTTTGTTTGTTTGTTGTTTAACACCGCACTCAACAATATTCCAGCTACATAACGGCGGTCTGTAAATAATCCAGTCTGGACCAGACAATCCAGTGGCTACCACCATGAGCATCGATCCACGCAAATGGATAAAATGACATCCATCAAAGTCAGCGAGCCCGACCACCCGATCCCGTTAGTTGCCCTCTACGACAAGACTTCAATGATGACACATCCAACAAAGTCAGCGAGCCCGACCACCCGATCCCGTTAGTCGCCCTCTACGACAAGACTTCAATGCTGACACATCCAACAAAGTCAGCGAGCCCGACCACCCTATCCCGTTAGTCGCCCTCTACGACAAGACTTCAATGCTGACACATCCAACAAAGTCAGCGAGCCCGACCACCCGATCCCGTTAGTCGCCCTCTACGACAAGACTTCAATGCTGACACATCCAACAAAGTCAGCGAGCCCGACCACCCGATCCCGTTAGTCGCCCTCTACGACAAGACTTCAATGCTGACACATCCAACAAAGTCAGCGAGCCCGACCACCCTATCCCGTTAGTCGCCCTCTACGACAAGACTTCAATGCTGACACATCCAACAAAGTCAGCGAGCCCGACCACCCGATCCCGTTAGTTGCCCTCTACGACAAGACTTCAATGCTGACACATCCAACAAAGTCAGCGAGCCCGACCACCCGATCCCGTTAGTCGCCCTCTACGACAAGACTTCAATGCTGACACATCCAACAAAGTCAGCGAGCCCGACCACCCGATCCCGTTAGTCGCCCTCTACGACAAGACTTCAATGCTGACACATCCAACAAAGTCAGCGAGCCCGACCACCCGATCCCGTTAGTTGCCCTCTACGACAAGACTTCAATGCTGACACATCCAACAAAGTCAGCGAGCCCGACCACCCGATCCCGTTAGTCGCCCTCTACGACAAGACTTCAATGATGACACATCCAACAAAGTCAGCGAGCCCGACCACCCGATCCCGTTAGTCGCCCTCTACGACAAGACTTCAATGCTGACACATCCAACAAAGTCAGCGAGCCCGACCACCCGATCCCGTTAGTCGCCCTCTACGACAAGACTTCAATGATGACACATCCAACAAAGGAACTGTATAACCTTCATGTCAGTCAGCAGAATCAGTGATGTTGCTACACATGTCATGCACAAAATGTTGTGTGGCAGTAGTGATTGTTGTAGGTTTAATTGTGGTAATTTGTCAGTGGCAGCATATGACAGAAACGCTCGTAAAATGCCGAGCCCTGATTTTAACAGGAAGTGTAATTGGAGTTACCCCCCTTCGTTGTTGATAAACATAGAGCACTTCGAAGCCTAATCCACCTGCGCCTTATCTACGTGTCAAGTGCGGATTGGTTACTTATCTGAAACAGCGATTTCCTGCACGCTTCCAACCCTACTCTGGAGTTAAGAACGGAGCTCGGCCTCTTTTTAGACATTTGCTGCTACCGCCTATTTGCCCCATCGTGTTCCCCTGTGTGGCTGTAAACCTAAAACTGTGTGTTCAAACATAATTTATTTATTGCAAATCAATATTGTGTGATTTCTAACTCTCAGTAGCCAAGCAGAGGAACATAACCCATCAAACATTTCTCGCCATCATCAACGTTTCTTGACTACGCCTGATTAGCGAGGGGGCCCGGGTGGCCCAGTCGTCTAAGGCGCCGCGATTCGCTGTGCAGATTTGGGTCCCTTGGGCACGCCAGAAACCTATGGTTGTAGGTTCGAATCTCGGTTCGCCCCGATTATGTTTCTAGGTTTGTCAGCACCATACCCGTGCTCGTGGGTTTCACCGAAGTGGTACACGTCTGAGACCTGCATCACTTCGGGCTTTTCTCCGACATTAAAATGACACGCCGTGATATAACTGGAATACTGTTAAAAGCGGCGTTTAACCCAACTCACTCACTCACCCTGATTAGCGACCTGTGCGCTGTGCCACCACAAACTCGTGATCCATTGGTCAATAGCCGCCCTTTATGTAACCACGTGGTTTTAGTACACTAAACAATGTAATCGTTGTGCAAAATAAACACGTATTTACAGTTGTAGTTGATGGCTAAATAACGCTATAACATAACACAACAATACGCTGTAATTCTAAACACATATCCCATTGTCAACTGATATTTAATACAGATTGTTGCCACTCATTGAGAACCAAAATCCCGCCACTGGCTGCCGAGGGTCGAGTTCAACACCGCAAATGTCGCTGTTCGCTTCTTAACCTCGAGTGAACAAAATATTCCATTTCTTACTGTCAAGATACGCTTTCATACATTTTGTCTATATGTAGATACGCTAGAACAAAAATGGAACGGCAGTCGGCAGTAACATTCCTTTGAGAAAATCATATCTTATACGCTCCAAATTAACATACACTGTATTGGAACGTAAATATACACTCTTATGGTGGTCAGTCAGAGATCGAGTGAGAGTGATCCTGTAGATGAGTGAGTGAATTAGTGACTGACTGACTCAAAGAGTTAGTGGGAGAGAGCCCAAGTGAGTGAGAGATGTTGTGGCTGAATGAGTGAGTGGGTGAGTAGGTGAGTGAATGAGTGGCCAAATGTGTGATCTTGAGACCGTGAGTGAGTGAGTGACCATGTACATGGGAGTGTGTGAGTGAGCGAGTGATTTCGTGACTGAGTGACAAAGTGAGTGAGCGAATGGGTGACAAAGTGAGTGCTCCAGTTAGTGACGAAGTGAGTGGCCACTTGAGTTACTGAGTGAGCCAGTGAATTTCCTTGAAATAATATCAATTATATCACTTTTATTTTGGGGATTGTTTGTTTTCTAATTATTATAAACCAGGCCTTATTCCAAAAAACAACTCTACGGCTACGACTATCGTGTATCCCATACTTTAATATAATTTTACGATACTCGTAGACCGCTTCATATCACCTAGAAAACATTTATCTGAGAAAATGGAAAAAAAGCGGAGGCATCAACTCTATTAGTCTATTGTTGGGACGACGGCACAATAAATTGTCAATGATGTCAGAACAATGAACGACGTCATATTCAATTATTTGCATCAATGCTTTGGGCCCCCTCGCAAACAATCAAAACAATGGAACAATCTTCGTTAAACGCCAATCAGCAGGCAGCAAAAGTTTTGATGTTCACTGAGAATTACTGAAAATACTTCCAGGAATACCCGTACCGTTATGGGCAATATGTCCCAAATCCCTGTGACGTCATCTTAGTATCAGAGGTGCTGTTCTCCACAGCGACATGTTCATCATATTCAGACTTCTCAATTACCATCCATCCCAACTGTGCCGGGCGTATTGACCTGGGCATCTCCTATGTTACATTATGAGCAGTCACGTCCACCGTGAGGTTACAACAAAGGGGTATCCGCGTCTCTACAAGAGAATAGTCTTCACCACTGGGCGAGATGTTCCTTTCTCTCGGCGTCTCTGACTCCAGTATGCAGTGATCTATAAACACACGACATCACCACTAAGCACAAGAGGCTAACATTTGAATTGTATACAATAATGAATAAATAAATCAGAGTGGAATCCAACAACAGCATTGGCAATCAGAGACGGGTCATAGAAGGAAATTCGGTTTTAGAGAAAGTATTACAAATGAATAACAAATATGAAATAAATATAACCATGAAACAAGAAATATGAGTGAAATATAAATCCTGTGTAACCAGAGATTTATTATGAAATATATGATAGCTACGCGATAAATCGCAAAGAACAATGACGGACGACGCGTGGTGTATTATACGATAAAACATTGTTCTATCATGACGTCATTTCTGGAGATTCGGACTTCCGCTCGCAACTTGATGACGTCGTAAATTGGACAACGTTATTTTTGAGAGGGAAGTGTCTATTGAGTTGTTCCTCCCAGATGTAGCTGGACAGCGCAGATGAACGCAGTGAACGTATGATCGCATAGTGGAAGAGATATGACAATCGGTTATTCTGAAAAAAGGTACAGATAATCGACGTGAAAAGTTACCCCCCCTGTTCAAAAATTGGACTTGTCCGACATTGCCGCGGTCGGATTCTAATCAGGGAGTCACCGTTACTTAAATACGGGTAGATATTTTTAAAGCGTGTACTTTTTACTAACATCCTTGAAGAGGTTGTACGTAATGTTGATATCTCATATAAGAAAATAAACGACACGTGGTCGTTGTTTATCTACAATAAAACACTGCAGGGAGAATAAAACACTCGGGGCTGCGCTTCTCATGGTTTATTCTCCCAGCAGTGTTTTATTGTACGATAAACAACTCTCACTCGTCGTTTATTTCTTAAATATGTTTTTAATTTGACGTTTACACGATATGCGGCTTTTCCATTGGACGAGAGGTTGGTCAGATGACCGCGAAATTGACGTTCATAAGTGTATGAACGACACAATTTGACGTTCATACGTTTTTCACGAGACCTTGTTCTTGAAATGACGTAAACACCGACGGACTACTTCCACATTCCTCGGGAAACCCCTGGGAATTCCCTAGCACGAAAACATACATAAGCATTATTTCTGATCATTTAGAACCTTTAATCTTGGTCTCAGACTTTCATTAAACATTGAGAAATGTCAGAGAGCGTGACTGCATGATTGTTCACGAATTTCCTCGCTACGGCCCATCCTAATGAACAAACGAAAAAATGCACATCCAAACTATCGACAGTATCGACTCGATCTGTGTCTAGGCTGACAGTGACCGTCCTCAGCAATCTACGAATTTACCTTGGTGTCTGTTTGACGCATCTTTAATCACCTTTAAAAAATCGGTCAGTTGATCAATGATGACTAACACATGTAACCGCCACATGTTCATTAACAACTTCGGTAATCCCCCCGTCACGTTTATCGTGTCGGCCATTTTTACGTCTTGTACTTGATGTAAATGTATTACGACGCGCTGTCATAGTGACTGACTTACTGAGGTAGTGCATTACAGACCTTTCTTATCTAATGGGGATATGATTTGAACACATGGGTTGCGTAAGATGTTTCTGAAGAGCAAGTTGTGCATCCATACGCTCATGTCACCTCTCACACGTACTAAATAAAATTGTGTTTAGATCTTGGCCTACATCCTTTGAGGAAAGAAATTGTGATAAAAAATTATAAGAATTGACTTTCACTTTGTGTGAGGTCATAGGAGTATGAACCTTCATAGAGTGAGGGCCAAACATTGTATGAACGTCGTCGTAAGCTCCGACGTTCATACAGTTTGGCCCTCACTCTGTGAAGGTTCATACTCCAATGACCTCACACAAAGTGAAGGTCAATTCTTAAATAAACAATGTGCTAAAAAATGAGGAGTGAAATGTATTGCCAAAGGCTACATATAATAGTATATATTCGTGAAAAGCCGATTAAACATAGCGGTGATATTTGGCTTATATTGAACCTCTTTTATCTTACTGAAACCCCTTGTCATGGTTGCAGCATATTTCATCACTAAATACATTTTCAACCTATATTCTTAAATAACAGAAAATACTTTTGTCTTGTGGAACAATTCGAGTCAACACCAAATCATTAAATTGAAAAATGGGAAACATATCTGTCAGCGATTTGCTGTTACAGTAAACTACGGTTAAAACGAACACGCTTATAGCGAACTGACCGATATAACGAACCTATTTTTTAGTCCCGGCCATTTGTTGTTTATATGCTGTATATATGCTTATAACGAACTACGGTTATAACGAACTAAAATAAGTGGTCCCTTTGAGTTCGTTATAAACGTAGTTTACTGTACATGCCTTATGAGACGGATGACGGCATGGCTCGGGGTATTGATTTAACCCTCACTTTGAAGTCGAATAAAATTCAATAACATTACGCACACAAATATACGTCACAGTTCTGAATTCTGTGGGAAATTCCCTGTTTTGCAATTCATTTCTCCGAGCAAATATTCGAAATTTAGATTTCAAAACATGCTGTAAATAACACCGCGTGTGGTGATTTAGTAATGTGTAACCAATGGCGACATTTACGATGTACCTAATTGTCAGAGGTCATTTTCAGTATTGTTGCTTGGCCTAAAATACCAGTGGATGATATGACAGTACACGGAATTTCCCACAGTATTCACAACTGTGACGTGTATCTGTGTGCGTGATGTATTTTGAATTTTATTCGGCTTCAAAGTGAGGGTTGAAGTGGAGGGACATATGTGTCCCCCTGGCATCCAGGGGGTTAAACAGAACCAAACAATAGTAATGCTGAGACAGATGTGTTTACATCCCCAAGTTAGAGTCGTTACCTTGGGGACGAAGATGAGGGTCTGGGTGACGGTGGTGGTGAGAATGGTGATGGTGGACTCCAGGGAGTAGTGGATGAGGACCTCCTGGCTGAGGGAGAGGCTCACTACCACCCCCATCACCCCCAGAACCACGGTGTTGTAGATGCAAATGCCGATGTAGCGAGAGTCGTTCATCACCTCCACGCTCACCTGGAACACAAAGACAAAAAGGTATAAAAAATAGAAATAGAATCTTCTTTTTTTCTGGCCTTAAAAATCGCTTTTACAAGATGCGATTTTGAATCATTGAAATGATTTTAAGTGCATCGATAGCGTCAACAGTAAAAAGTATGATTACAGGAGGAGGCCTCGGAACACAGTTACTCCCTCTTAGTTTATGAACCGGATGGAAAATAGGAGAATATGGGCCCCTGTTTAAATTGGCTGTTCAGCCTGTGCCATCTTTTTTGAGTGAATCTGTGATAGCTTAAATGAAAGATTAGACATTGTAGTTTGTTGCCAATGTTTTGTTAGCCACAATCTGTGAAGGTATTGATTCTAGCTTCCCATGACTTGACCCCAACTTGAAGGCCACTGTGTGTGTTTCGGCTCGAAACTTCTGGTGACCATTGTTGACAATGGTTACTGCTACAGCTAGCTGGTGGATTCAGGCGGATACTTTGCGTTTTAAGTGACAAGTGGCTGGGTGGTCAGCATGCAACAGGAGAACAGCCTACGACCAATAATAATTATGGTGGGCTGTCATGTCACTGTAGATAGCAAAGAAGGAAATAACTTGTTGTCTGAGGCCAGGAATTGGAAATAGAATTGTATGGAATCCTAGACGGGACAATGTCGCGTTGTCGCATTGTCGTCCTTACAAAAACCAAAGAAAAATGGCAAAATTAACCAAAGCGCGACAATGCTACAACGGACATTTTTGACCATTTGTCGCCCTTTGAAGATATTTTCTATTTTACCAAAGGGCGACAACGCGACAATGTCCATTCTAGGATTCCATAGAATTGAGTGAAGAGAATGATTCTCGAGCACTGATCAAGTGAGGGGGTAATAATAGCGCTTTGAGCATGCCCCTGTGGAAATATGCGCAATATGAATGGCCTGTCATGTATGAGTGTAAGATACCACCGACTAGAGAGGGGAACAGAGAGGAGACACAAGATACGATGATTGTTTCCCGACCAACCCTCATCATTGCCGACCCGTGAAGATCCGGGGTAGAATAGGTCTTGGGCAACCCATGCTTGTCCCCTGTGAAGATCCGGGGTAGAATAAGTCTTCAGAAACCCATGCTTGCCGTAAGAGGCGACTAACGGGATCGGGTGGTCAGGCTCGCTGACTTGGTTGATGCATGTCATCAATCCCAATTGTGTGGATCGATGCTCATGGAATCAATCACTGGATTGTCTGTTACAGACTCGATTATTTACAGACCGCTGTCATAAAATATGGCTGAGTGGGCGTTAAACAACAAACAAACAAACAACCAGTCATCATTGCCGTACACGAGATGGGTCAATACAATGATCAGGACACATAGGTGTTCACAGGTGTTCACGGAAATATTCAATTCTTTCTCTGAGATCAAATGACTTCAGGTCAGTCAAGTAGTTTATCTTTATGGGTCGTGGATTACCTGTGGCTACCGTTGGGGAGAGATAAACGTTTGATCGTGCTTCGTCAACGGGAGCGAACTTGTGTTCCTAGCCAAAACCTGGACCGGTGACTATCACCAGGAAATGAATGGCGAGCTATTCCTTGAATGGATCGAGCACCAACTTCCGCCAAGACTTGACGAGCTCAGTGTTATTGTCACGGATAACGCTAATTATCACAACCTGCGTGGGGTTCATAACACGACACATCCTATAACACGACGTAACCTCAGGCCTAAATAGTAATAATGTGGTTTATTTGATATACGTTGGTCATCATTTCATGTATTTCATGGTCACCAAAACAGGACCAAAATAATTTTTTATCTGTATATACTCACTGTCAAAAGAAACGCGAATACCATACATGTTGGTTAATTTATGTAGAATTACTCATATTAAAGAGATATAGAGAATCTCACCCGAGTGTCTTTTGAGAACAAATATATCAACACGAGTTGATAAAAGTGGGAAAACTCCGAGGCTTGCCGATGGTTGTTTTGTGAATAAAATGAAGTGACAAAACTTTTTATTATCTTATTTTATTATTAAAAGAAGAAAGATATCTTATTTATGTGTCATACGGTTGTGGTGTGAAATATGATATGGATTACTGTGTTGTTTTAAAACCCTTATTGTGTTTTCATTAGGATTAGACATGGGAGCTTAAACGCATTGTGCACTAAATCCGAACTCAATTGGTTCGTTAGCAAATGAAACGCGAGAGCGACATACAAGTCGAGTTAAATTGAGCTATTTTCACTCCAATGTCGCTCTGGCGTGCATAAACCGGGTAGAATTGGTCTTCAGCCACCCATGCTTGCCGGAGAAGGCGACTATGCTTGTCGTATAAGGCGACTAACGGGATCGGGTGATCAGGATCGCTGACTTGGTTGATGCATGTCAACGTATCCCAATTGCGTAGATCGATGCTCATGATGTCAATCACTGGATTCTCTGGTCCAGACTCGATTATTTACAGACCGCCGTCATATAGCTGGAATATTGCTGAGTGGGGCGTTAAACAACAAACAAACAAAACAACCTGCGTCACATAACTCACGCAAAACTCTGTGTTCATTACTATACCTTTCTCGTCTCCCAGGCTAGGAAGACCCCAAAGAACAAAAGTGTCCCCAGCACACCGAGGATGGGTCCCAGGTAGTACTTGCTGTTCGGTGAGCTACAAAGGTACACGACGGGCTGGATGATGACATCGGAGTCTGTCACTGTCTGGAAGTCATATGGACCATTAAATCATCATCACATGGCAATGGGAGAGGGTTTCTGAACAAAATCAACCAAATTTGAAGAAACTGAGCATACACATTTAATTGAAGGATAGCTTCGGGATCCTATCAAATTCATCTGCGCAACAGCTCTTAGGTAACATTTAATTATCATATTTATTTTCATATTTGCACTAAACTCGGTATTCGTTATGGAAATGTCTACTTAGGTACCGACCATTGCTGGAAATAAAAGAATGGCCTCGTGTTTTACCATAAAAATCAACTGTCCACAAGACATGCATGTCCTGAGTGTTTTTTGTCTCTAATTAAGAACTGACTTTCACTTTGTGTGAGTTCACTGAACTATGAACCTTTACAGAATGATGGCCAAACTGTATGAACGTCTGAGCTTGCGTCCTCATTCATACAATGTTTGGCGATCACTCTATGAAGGTTCATACTCCAATGAACTGACACAAAGTGAAAGTCAATTCTTATATTTTTTATGTCACTATTTTTTACCTCGAAAGACATAAGCCTAGATTTATACACAATTCATTTAGTACGTGTGACGTCATGTCTACACTGAGAGCCACACAACAACCAGCTGTGTCGCGGAATAAAATAATTCCTCAAAACGAGAGGTGACGTGAGAGTATGTATGCTCAACTTGCTCCACATGAACATCTGTTGTAGTTTGTTTACAACAATTGTGTTCGAATAATATCACCATTGGATGAGATAGGTGTGTTAAGAACGACCTCAGTAAATCAGTCAGAATGACAGCGCGTCGTAATAGATAAAGTACAAGGCGTCAAAATGGCCGACACGATAAACGTGACAGGAGAGATTTCCGAAGATGTTAATGAACTCTCTGGCCTTCCTCAATGTTTGCTAAAGCGCTTAGTCCAAGAGCCTAAATTATCAGAAACGACGCTAATGTATGTATTCGTTGGGGAACTCCCAGGGGTTCCCCGAGGAATGTGTTACGTCATTTCAAGAATACGTGCACGTTAAAAACGTATAAACGTCACATTATGTCGTTCATACACTTATGAACGTCAATTTCGCTATCATGTGACCGGCCTCTGGTCCGACGGAAAAGCCGTATATCGTGTAAACTTCACATGGAAAAATTATAAAATTATAAAAAAATGTTTGGGTTCTCATTTCAGTCAAAGAAGATTGTATGTCTTAAAACAGAGATAGAATAACATATCTCACTTCAGCCGTCAGTGTGTGATGGTTGATAATAACTACATCTCACTTCAGCCGTCAGTGTGTGATGGGGGATAATAACTATATCTCACTTTAGGTGTAAGTGTGTGATGGGTGATAATAACTTTATCTCACTTCAGGTGTCAGTGTGTGATGGATGAGTATAACTATATCTCACTTTAGGTGTAAGTGTGTGATGGGTGATAATAACTTTATCTCACTTCAGGTGTCAGTGTGTGATGTTTGTAATAACTATATCTCACTTCAGGTGTCAGTTTGTGATGGATGAGTATAACTATATCTCACTTCAGGTGTCAGTTTGTGATGGGGGATAATAACTATATCTCACTTCAGGTGTCAGTGTGTGATGGATGAGTATAACTATATCTCACTTCAGGTGTCAGTTTGTGATGGGGGATAATAACTATATCTCACTTCAGGTGTCAGTGTGTGATGGATGAGTATAACTATATCTCACATCAGGTGTCAGTGTGTGATGGGGGATAATAACTATATCTCACTTCAGGAGTCAGTGCATGATGTTTGTAATAACTATATCTCACTTCAGGTGTCAGTTTGTGATGGGTGATAATAACTATATCTCACTTCAGGTGTCAGTGTGTGATGGATGAGTATAACTATATCTCACTTCAGGTGTCAGTTTGTGATGGGGGATAATAACTATATCTCACTTCAGGTGTCAGTGCATGATGTTTGTAATAACTATATCTCACTTCAGGTCTCAGTGTTTGATGGGGGATAATAACTATATCTCACTTCAGGTGTCGGTTTGTGATGGGGGATAATAACTACATCTCACTTCAGGTCTCAGTGTTTGATGGGTGATGGCGATAGAGTCCATGAGTATCCAGGCCAGCAAGATTCCAGAGTTCACCAGAACCAGTACCCCGACCAGCAGAAACAGGCTCCAGTCTCTGTACACCTGTATAGTTGATTGTACAATACGTCCAATACAACACCAACATGACGACATCACTTCACTATGTGAATTGTAACAATACGTTTGTTGTTATCGTTAGCCTTATATTAATGCTGTTTTATATCTAAAATAGTTTTGTAAACCGTTTTCTACTCTAAAGTTACTTAATTCCTTGCCCCATCGATTATAGATTCGATTACGACACAATTACTTTCTACTTCCAATACATACATGACTTACTTTCAAGGTTAAGTCATTCAAAGTTCCCTTTACATGCAGATGTAAAACAATACATCAAAACAGCCTTCTAAAAATAAGATATGATAGTTGATGCAAAGGTAGTTTTTACCCTTCTTGTGATTGTAAACTTGGATGTAAATATGGCGTACACTCTCCAGGTCTTGGCGAACAGGGCACCAAACGTCATCGAGAAACCAATCGTCAAGACAAAGATCTTAACCTTAAATAGCTGAAACAGAATGACATTTCGAAATTTCATCATTATCATATAACAATAATAATGATGATGATGATGATGATGATGATGATGATGATGATGGTGGTGGTGGTGGTGGTGATGATGATGATGATGATGATGATGATGGTGATGATGATGATGATGATGATGATGTTGTTGGTGATGATGATGATGGTGGTTGTGGTGGTGGTGGTGATGATGATGATGATGATGATGATGATGATGGTGATGATGATGATGGTGATGATGATGGTGGTGGTGGTGGTGGTGGTGGTGGTGGTGGTGGTGATGATGATGATGATGATGGTGGTGGTGGTGGTGGTGGTGGTGGTGGTGATGATGATGGTGGTGGTGATGATGATGATGATGATGATGATGATGGTGGTGGTGGTGGTGGTGGTGGTGGTGATGATGATGGTGGTGGTGATGATGATGATGATGATGATGATGGTGGTGGTGGTGGTGGTGGTGGTGGTGAGGGTGGTGGTGGTGGTGGTGATTATTACACTTGTGTATTATAGAATCAGTTTCTACTGGCATCTCGGGAGTGTGTAGCGTACCTTGCACTGGCTGCTCCTACCGTCCAGGTCCGCCAAGAACACTTCTATGTAGGTGATGACACACCCGCTGAGGATGACGTTGTTCAGGTTGGGGGAGGACATCTTAATGATCCTAAACGTAAATCAGTAAACTATCAAGGATAACGAGGCCACAGGGAAATGATTATCGAAGGAGCCAATGTATATCACACAGCCATTGTAGGGGCAGGTGTGAAGGACATGCTGGTTGTAGGGGCAGGTGTGTAAGACGTGCGAATTGAAAGTTGCGCTCGTTAAGGAAGCATCGATCGAAGTGTCAACAACCATGATGTATACGTCAGTGTATTGTAGCCAGGTAACTGCCTGTTTCCTGTACCCGTGAGCACCCTGTGTAAACACATTCTTCATGATGACATGTCAAGGTGACGCAGTGTCTCAGGCGTTAATTTATCTTAAGGCATTGTTAATACGAACCAAACAAGTATGAGGCGTTTTTCAATGCATCCATCTTTACCTTTCATTTCTGCAGACAATGTTGAACGCCAGGAAGACAATGGCCAGCACCATGGCGGCTCCAGCCAGACAACACATGGCGATGTACACAGGCACTGGCAGCGTGATGACCCTCTCCTCCACCCTCACGCTGTCCACAGGGACACGCCCATCTACAAATACCACGCCCATAAATATATGTGATGTCAACCAGCAGCGTGATGACCCTCTCCTCCACCCTCACGCTGTCCACGGGGACACGCCCATCTACAAATACCACGCCCATAAATATATGTGATGTCAACCAGCAGCGTGATGACCCTCTCCTCCACCCTCAAGCTGCCCACGGGGACACGCCCATCTACAATAACACACCCATAAATATATGTGATGTCAACTAGCAGCCTGATGACCCTCTCCTCCACCCTCACGCTGTCCACGGGGACACGCCCATCTACAAATACCACGCCCATCAATATATGTGATGTCATACCAGCAGCGTGATGACCCTCTCCTCCACCCTCACGCCATCCACAGGGACACGCCCATCTACAAATACCACGCCCATGAATATATATAACGTCATACTATAGCGCTAAAACTGACATCAATCTGTTACTTCCCACAGCTCAAAGTGGCGTTAAACACTACACAGTCACGCACATGACCGTTGCACTACAATCACTTTGTGCAAACGGGCCCGGGCTTTGCACTGTCACCAGGGACACTAAAAGCTAAACTCCTACCTGTCAGTATGCTATACCCCTACCTGTCAGTATGCTATACCCCTACCTGTCACTTGGAGGTTTTTATGATAAACGGGGGCGGTCGGGTAGCCTAGTGGTTAAAGCGTTCGCTCGTCACGCCGAAGACCCGGGTTCGATTCCCGACATGGGTACAATGTGTGAAGCCCATTTCTGGTGTCCCCCGCCGTGATATTGCTGGAATATTGCTAAAAGCGGCGTAAAACCATACTCACTCGCTCACTCACTATGATAAACGCATGTGACTGAACGACATCACTACATCCGTGTGACATAATGGGGCGGTTGGGTAGCCTAGTGGTTAAAGCGTTCGCTCGTCACGCCAAAGACCCGGGTTTGATTCCCCACATGGGTACACTATGTCAAGCCCTTTTCTGGTGTCCCCCGCTGTGATATTACTTGAATATTGCAAAAAGGGCGTAAAACCGTACTCACTCACTCACCCGTACGACATAATATCCTGTCTAGGCGTACCTGGGAACACAGAGCAGTTGGTAGATGAAGTTGTCCACCGGATGTCCTCCTCAGTGATGTCACTTACTCCGATGATGATGTTCCTGGCGTCTGTAACACAGTATTGGGGCCACGTTAACAGGGGCTTCTTACAGACAAATCAGAGAGATTCTTCCACATTTACATACAATGCATCCAAAAACAAATATACAGTTTCCCATTTATGTATCCAAACAAAGAAGTGTCTTATAAAAACAAGCGACAAAACCCTTTCCATATTCATAAGAATTCTCCCCCAAAAGGCACCACTGACTATATCATGAACACGAGTTTATGAATCGCTATTAAGTATTGATGATACCAAGTGTTCGCGAAAAGGTGAGCTTAGTATCCTTCTCAACCGGTGGCACACGTCACACACACATGCAAAGGCAAGTCAACTTTTCACCCGTAAAAAACAAGGAACATATGGTACAAGTCAAAATAATGAATCCAATCTGACACAACCTCTGTCACCGAAGCGACAAACTTGGAAATGTCCTCCACGTGTCTACCATTAGCCTAACTGATGCCTTGAATGTTGTAACAGTGATTAAACAAATGACACACTTTGAAATCTTGGTAGAAAGAGCATGCTTGACTGTACCTCAAGGTTGTCTAATGTAGACACCAAGCTCCGGTGCCAGGTCAAAGACTCAAATTTTGGAGTTCGAGAAATAAATTCAGATGGACACGACAAGGTATGCTATTGGTCGGGACAAGTTTCGATATATGGTTCAATGTTTATCAGTCGACTCAAGCTTGTTAGACATTAAATTTACCGCGTATATTTAATGTCACATTCTAAGATGGTGTTCAGGCTCGCTGACTTGGTTTATGCATGTCATCGTATTCCAATTGGATTGATGCACATAATGTCAGTCACTGGATTGTCTTGTTCAGACTCGATAATTTTACAGACAGACCGCCATCATATAGCTGGAATATTGCTGGATGCGGCGTAAAACAACAAACGAACAAATCAAACAATAATGATCAAAAAGAGTATTGTGTAAGCACTGGCCTCGAAATACCCGGATGCTGACAAAGCTCCTGGGATCCCCGCGGTCATCGAACTGGATCCGTCCGGTTATTCCCGAGAAGTTAAGTTGACGGGTGTGATCATATATCAGCTGACCTAGTTCTCTGTCTGTGTAGGTGAAGTTTTCGATTCTCCGGGGGTCATCTGAACAAAACAATGTTCATGCTGACCATTACATAATAACATTCCAGTTACGTAGTCATGTCCTGACATTTTCAGCTAACCCCCCTTGTCTCAACGTCGCGCACCATGGAATTCATACATACCGTTATTCGAGAAGTGACGTCACCACCTCCATCGGTCCTGTCTCCCTATCTTAGCACAGATATTCTCTGGCTCAACGGAGTAATTTAATGGACGCCTATATATAGCATCGAACCTTTCGAATTGATCTCAAAACGAAGCTATGGTAGTGAATATGTCCCGGGTATTTATCACAATATAATGTAAATATAACAATGATATTTGAGGATGACTTTCACTGTCAGTTTCCTGTTTCAGACACACAAAAGGGAACATTTTGGCATATTTAGCATTTTTGAGTGTTGGTAAAACAAAACCAATGCAATTTTACAAAACCAGTCCCTCACCAATTCTCTGTAGATAGTTGTTGGTTTGATTCAACGCAATGGCCGCTGCCCACATCACGTCATAAGCAACAGGTGCTCGCTCATGCCCGGATATTAACGTGCTGTTTGCCGTCCGGTTAATGTAATCCGTGTATTGCGACCGGAACTGCGATGGCGTCATGTTGGAGATTGACACGTCATCGCTCGGATTGTAGTAGACGTTGTCTAGGCTGAAGGCGTTGTCTATCACTTTCAGGATGTCCTGGGTGGTACAGTTGGCAGTGTCATTATATCCCGTGTACCAATGGGGATCGAACCAGCCTGGGAGTAACCAAACCACCTTCCTTCCGTACAGACCGATTCTGAACGCCTAAAAACAATGAGAATTTTGATAACTTTATTGACAATTAATGGTACAAGTGAGTTAGTGTGTACAAGTGAGAGAGTGATACAGCAAGCATTTTCACATCGAAGGACGCCATATATTGCCTTCCCATATTGTACCCATGTAGGGAATCGAACCCGGGCCTTCGGAGTGACAAGCGAACACTTTAACCACCAGATTACCCAAACGCCCACGTACAAATAAAGCTCCTGTTTAGAAATTAATAGAACTAATCCTAAGTTATGAAAATCCTGTCAACGCTCTTATTCCCCAAATAATACTTATGGCGACGTTCTCAGCTGCACAATAGACATGCAAAATGCAGTATATGTGTATCTCGAAGAATAGCTACCAGGCCCTTTATTTTCGATAAAAGAGAGTATGTTGTATTTATCCTGGGGTGTTAACGTGTCTGTCAGTGAAATGATTCATTACAGAATAGTTGGTGCCGGTAATTGCTGGCATGTCAGACATAAAACACACAAATGCATTTGAAAAAAGTAGCCTTTTAAACTCATTGGTGACGCATCACATCTCCAAAGTTAGTGTACGGCGCTTGCTGTTTTTATTGCTCTGTTGCTGATTGGTCGTGTTCAGGGAGAGACATACCTGACAGATGACACGCCGTCCTTGCTGGGGGTAGAAGTTGCCCACGATGACCCTCGCATCGTGATGCTGGAACAGATCGATGATGTTCAGGTTGAAGGTCACAGTTTGTTTGTTTGTTGTTTAACGCCGCACTCAGCAATATTCCAGCTATAAGACGTCGGTCTGTAAATATTAGAGTCTGGACCAGACCAGACAATCCAGTGATCCATGCAAGTGGGATACGATGACATACATCAAAGTCAGCGAGCCTGACGACCAGATCCCGTATAGTCGCCGTTTACGACAAGCATGGGGTGCTGAAGACCTTTTCTACCCTGGATCTTCACGGGGGAGATAGGCATGGGTTGCTGAAGGCCTATTCTAAGCCGGATCTTCACAGGGGGAGACAAACATGGGTTGCTGAAGACCTATTCTACACCGGATCTTCACGGGTTGAAGGTCACAGTGGTTTGAACTATATCATAGATGGTATACAATTCAGATCACTTACCCATCCACCTATCACACATCCAACGACCCATCCACCTACAAGCTACCATCCAACAATCCATCCACCTACCCATCTGCAATCCACTACCACCCAACCACTTGTGCTGATCAACTCACGCATCTCCCAACCCACCACCCACCTTCCATCTATCTTCCACGTATCCAGCCAGCTACCACCCAGCCACCTATCACCTGCTTATCAACCCACACTGTTACAATTACCTTCAGTGCTTGCTGGTGTCCACTGTTACAATTACCTTCAGTGCTTGCTGTGTACACTGTTACAATTACCTTCAGTGCTTGCTGGTGTACACTGTTACAATTACCTTCAGTGCTTGCTGGTGTCCACTGTTACAATTACCTTCAGTGCTTGCTGGTGTCCACTGTTACAATTACCTTCAGTGCTTGCTGGTGTCCACTGTTACAATTACCTTCAGTGCTTGCTGGAGTCCACTGTTACAATTACCTTCAGTGCTTGCTGGTGTCCACTGTTACAATTACCTTCAGTGCTTGTACTTCAAGAGTAGGGTCGCTGAAGAACTGCTGCTGCGTCAGGACGGTCATGTTCTCCGCATCGAGCTGCTTTATTAGATCTTCGGTTGCCTGTAAAGAGCATTGTTTCATTTACACTTCATACCTTGATTATTTTCTCGGTGATTGATTTGTGCAAGTAACCGTTGTTCCCATTATTAGAACTTGTTATCAAGTCATTCGTTCATCTGGGAAGACGAACATTAGTTCTGTCACTTTCAGAATGATTTAACGAGTTGTTGCGTGGTACGTACAAGGAGAGAGTAGACAGTACTCATATGTCGTATACTGAAGGCAAATAGTATCCACTCGTTCTGGAGTGAGTGTGTGAGTTTGTGGGTTGATTAGTGAGGGAGTGAGTGGGCGGGTAGGTGGGTGGGTTGTTAAAGTAGGTGAGTGAGTGAGAGGGTGGGTGGGTGTTTTGGTGGGTGGGCGGGTGTTTGAATGAGTAAGTGAGTGAGTGGATGTGTTTGTGGGTGGGTGGTTGAGTGAGTAATTGAGTGAGTGGGTGGTAGGTGGGTGGGTGGTTGAGTGGTTGAGTGGGTTGATGGGTGGATGAGTTAATCAACAAGTCAGTCAGTGAGTGACAAAATCAATTTATGATCACTCGGAGGATTGGGGGATGCACGTTCACTGCCAGTTAAGTTATTACTTGAATTAATACTGTTTCAATACTTACCGAAGAAAAAAGTTCTAGATTCTCAGAGATGATCGATATTGTGTTCCATCCGAAGTGCTTGAATAATTTCACACGCACTGTATTTATCTGGGATTCAGGGGCGATAACCCGGAAGAATTTCGGATATTGTTTCTTGTCCGATAATGAAGGCGACACAGAACCGTAGGAGATCTGAAGAAATAGTTTAGTGTTTGAAAACTGAACAAACATAACATATGCCGTATGTCGCTTTACTGAACAATTGCCAGTTACAAAAGCTTTTGGACCGCCTTCGTGGTCTAGTGGTAGAGCGTCCGCCCGGAGAGCGGAAGGTTCGAGGTTCGATCCCCGGCCGCGTCATATCAAAAGACGTTGTTACCCTGTCTGGCGCTCGGCTTTCAGGGACTAAAACAAGGACTGGTCGGCTCGGAGTCAGTATACTGTGTCTGAGTGGGATATTCATGTTAAACTGCGGCATGGTATCTCAGTGGGTTAGCACTATACATCGGCATTAGTCCGGCCTGGTACAAGCAGCCACACACACACAAGTGCATGCACGTCGCGATATAAGTACAATAATCTTGAACGCAACGTTTCTACTCACCTCACCAAAAGCTTTTGGTTTACTTTATCTGATGATGAACATATATTTTATCTATGCAGGTGCTCGTGAAATGCTTGTCCTCCTATATTGTACTCACGCGATGTGCACGTGTAACACTGACTCTGCTCTACTCCTACTCGCCTCATTCTGAGCCTGATGAACTCTACCTGTACAAGATGCACGTGTAATACTGAGTCTGATGTACTCTACCTGTACAAGATACACGTGTAATACTGAGTCTGATGTACTCTACCTGTACAAGATGCACGTGTAATACTGAGTCTGGTGTACTCTTCCTGTACAAGATGCACGTGAAATACTGAGTCTGATGTACTCTACCTGCACAAGATGCACGTGTAATACTGAGCCTGATGTACTCTACCTGTACAAGATGCACGTGTAATACTGAGTCTGATGTACTCTACCTGTACAAGATGCACGTGTAATACTGAGTCTGATGTACTCTACCTGTACAAGATGCACGTGTAATACTGAGTCTGATGTACTCTACCTGTACAAGATGCACGTGTAATACTGAGTCTGATGTACTCTACCTGTACAAGATGCACGTATAATACTGAGCCTGATGTACTCTACCTGTACAAGATGCACGTGTAATTCTGAGCCTGATGTACTCTACCTGTACAAGATGCACGTGTAATACTGAGTCTGATGTACTCTACCTGTACAAGATGCACGTGTAATTCTGAGCCTGATGTACTCTACCTGTACAAGATGCACGTGTAATACTGAGTCTGATGTACTCTACCTGTACAAGATGCACGTGTAATTCTGAGCCTGATGTACTCTACCTGTACAAGATGCACGTGTAATACTGAGTCTGATGTACTCTACCTGTACAAGATGCACGTGTAATTCTGAGTCTGATGTACTCTACCTGTACAAGATGCACGTGTAATTCTGAGCCTGATGTACTCTACCTGTACAAGATGCACGTGTAATACTGAGTCTGATGTACTCTACCTGTACAAGATACACGTGTAATACTGAGTCTGATGTACTCTACCTGTACAAGATGCACGTGTAATACTGAGTCTGGTGTACTCTACCTGTACAAGATGCACGTGTAAGACTGAGTCTGATGTACTCTACCTGTACAAGATGCACGTGTAAGACTGAGTCTGATGTACTCTACCTGTACAAGATGCACGTGTAATACGGAGTCTGATGTACTCTACCTGTACAAGATGCACGTGTAATACTGAGTCTGATGTACTCTACCTGTACAAGATACACGTGTAATTCTGAGCCTGATGTACTCTACCTGTACAAGATGCACGTGTAATACTGAGTCTGATGTACTCTACCTGTACAAGATGCACGTATAATACTGACTCTGATGTGCTCTACCTGTACAAGATGCACGTGTAATTCTGAGTCTGATGTACTCTACCTGTACAAGATGCACGTGTAATTCTGAGCCTGATGTACTCTACCTGTACAAGATGCACGTGTAATACTGAGTCTGATGTACTCTACCTGTACAAGATGCACGTGTAATTCTGAGCCTGATGTACTCTACCTGTACAAGATGCTTGTGAAATACTGAGTCTGATGTACTCTACCTGCACAAGATGCACTTGTAATACTGAGTCTGATGTACTCTACCTGTACAAGATGCACGTGTAATACTGAGTCTGATGTACTCTACCTGTACAAGATGCACGTGTAATACTGAGTCTGATGAACTCTACCTGTACAAGATGCACGTGTAATACTGAGTCTGATGTACTCTACCTGTACAAGATACACGTGTAATACTGAGTCTGATGTACTCTACCTGTACAAGATGCACGTGTAATACTGAGTCTGGTGTACTCTACCTGTACAAGATGCACGTATAATACTGAGTCTGATGTACTCTACCTGTACAAGATGCACGTGTAATACTGAGTCTGATGTACTCTACCTGTACAAGATGCACGTGTAATACTGAGTCTGATGTACTCTACCTGTACAAGATGCACGTGTAATACTGAGTCTGATGTACTCTACCTGTACAAGATACACGTGTAATTCTGAGCCTGATGTACTCTACCTGTACAAGATGCACGTGTAATACTGAGTCTGATGTACTCTACCTGTACAAGATGCACATATAATACTGAGCCTGATGTACTCTACCTGTACAAGATGCACGTGTAATTCTGAGCCTGATGTTCTCTACCTGTACAAGATGCACGTGTAATACTGAGTCTGATGTACTCTACCTGTACAAGATGCACGTGTAATTCTGAGCCTGATGTACTCTACCTGTACAAGATGCACGTGTAATACTGAGTCTGATGTACTCTACCTGTACAAGATGCACGTGTAATTCTGAGCCTGATGTACTCTACCTGTACAAGATGCACGTGTAATTCTGAGCCTGATGTACTCTACCTGTACAAGATGCACGTGTAATTCTGAGCCTGATGTACTCTACCTGTACAAGATGCACGCGTAATACTGAGTCTGATGTACTCTACCTGTACAAGATGCACGTGTAATACTGAGTCTGATGTACTCTACCTGTACAAGATGCACGTGTAATTCTGAGTCTGATGTACTCTACCTGTACAAGATGCACGTGTAATACTGAGTCTGGTGTACTCTACCTGTACAAGATGCACGTGTAAGACTGAGTCTGATGTACTCCACCTGTACAAGATGCACGTGTAATACTGAGTCTGATGTACTCTACCTGTACAAGATGCACGTGTAATACTGAGTCTGATGTACTCTACCTGTACAAGATGCACGTATAATACTGAGCCTGATGTACTCTACCTGTACAAGATGCACGTGTAATTCTGAGTCTGATGTACTCTACCTGTACAAGATGCACGTGTAATACTGAGTCTGATGTACTCTACCTGTACAAGATGCACGTGTAATTCTGAGTCTGATGTACTCTACCTGTACAAGATGCACGTGTAATACTGAGTCTGATGTACTCTACCTGTACAAGATGCACTTGTAATTCTGAGCCTGATGTACTCTACCTGTACAAGATGCACGTGTAATTCTGAGCCTGATGTACTCTACCTGTACAAGATGCACGCGTAATACTGAGTCTGATGTACTCTACCTGTACAAGATGCACGTGTAATTCTGAGTCTGATGTACTCTACCTGTACAAGATGCACGTGTAATTCTGAGTCTGATGTACTCTACCTGTACAAGATGCACGTGTAATACTGAGTCTGATGTACTCTACCTGTACAAGATGCACGTGTAATTCTGAGCCTGATGTACTCTACCTGTACAAGATGCACGTGAAATACTGAGTCTGATGTACTCTACCTGCACAAGATGCACGTGTTATACTGAGTCTGATGTACACTACCTGTACAAGATGCACGTGTAATACTGAGTCTGATGTACTCTACCTGTACAAGATGCACGTGTAATACTGAGCCTGATGTACTCTACCTGTACAAGATGCACGTGTAATACTGAGTCTGATGTACTCTACCTGTACAAGATGCACGTGTAATACTGAGCCTGATGTACTCTACCTGTACTAGATGCACGTGTAATACTGAGTCTGATGTACTCTACCTTTACAATAAACACGTGTAATTCTGAGCCTGATGTACTCTACCTGTACAAGATGCACGTGTAATACTGAGTCTGGTGTACTCTACCTGTAAAATATACACGTGTAATTATATAATTCTGAGCCTGATGTACTCTACCTGTACAAGATGCATGTGTAATACTGAGCCTGATGTACTCTACCTGTACAAGATGCACGTGTAATTCTGAGCCTGATGTACTCTACCTGTACAAGATGCACGTGAAATA